GATCTTCTGGTAGGAAAGATCTACACCTAGCCTTCTCGGACAAGGGCGAAAAATCTCGGAGGGCCCGTGTGCAAGTTGCGCACGTTAAAGATCCCTTGATGGTCTAAAATCGATAAGAGTAGGCTTCGGCCGCCACCGGGGGATAATTGAACATTCCTACCAACTGAAAATATTAGGTGTGTCCAGCGCGCTCATATGACCTCATGCAGTTGCGAGCGCCGTAAAACACTTTACAAAAACAAACAAACATTTCTTTGCTATATCTTTTTTACTTCCAAGTATCCTTTACCATCATCTGTATTCCTGTAAAGACTCTGCCGGCTGATATCCTCAGAGTTGAGATATTTGTTGAGTCTTTTCACAGATGTCACTACCTGAAGAATAGAGGGAAAAAGACAACCTGCAGTTTTAAACATAATCTTGCTGTACCTGATACCTCATTTGATATTTGGTCGCTTTTGAGGACAATCGAGTTAACCCATATTTCGGGGGTTTCCAGAAATCTTGACCAACACCAAAAGTGGGCATTGCCCTACAAATAGGAGAAGTTTGGTTTCATTGGTGTGTACATATTTGCTTGGTTATAGAGAAAACTCCTCCTTGTCTTTTAAAGTAACTGAACATGGGGCAAAAAATTTACCTTCGGTTTTCTCAAAACAGCATTTTTCGGGATAGCCCCCTTGTGCTTTAAAGCGACCAATTGTTTGTTTGCTTGTTTGAATAAAGAAAAACATGTCGACACAATTACCGTTATTAAACGTCTTCAATGCTGCGACTTTTTCGTCTACGTTCAAACAGACAAGACAACGTCCCCAAAAGAACTAGGAACAAAGCCATAATTACCTAATTATCTTTCACTTTTTTACTAGTAAGCAAGCTGACAGACAGACAGACAGGTAGACAGACAGACAGACAGAGACAAAGGCTGAGAAAGAGGGAGAAAAACAGAAAGAGAAAGTAAAGAGAAGAAAAACCAGCCTATAACTACAACAAACACAATAAGTTATACTATTTAGTTCTCGAGTCACCTTGGCAGAGGCTTGAATTAACACCGGAAGCACGTTGGTGGCTAGTCGTAGCAGGTTTATGAAGTTCAAGGTCACGAAGCTAGAGTTGGCGTCCAGGTGATGGGAGCTATCCACAAGCACGAAGGTCATAAGGATGAAGTACAGCATCTGAAACAACAATGTTCAAGTCCTTCTTTTTAATGCAAGGGTTTTTCATCAAATCACCGTCGGCACAGTTTAGATCATGTCATTTAGGGAGACAATGCAAGAAAAACGAGCAGTCAAAGAATTATTCTACGATAGCGACAGTCTTGACTTGCGAAGGTCAAAATGATGAATAAATAAGAAAGAAAGAAAAAAACCCACCCTAATTATTCCCCTTCACAAACAAAAAATATGTAAAAATCTCGAACCATCCCCCCCC